CGCAAAGTCCTCCTGATTGAAATGGTCTCAGTGGAGTCATTTGTTGAAGTCAGGCTGACATTCACAGTGAGCGCATAATGAAGGCCTAAAGAAATTTTGGTCAGAAATAAGGATCGGGGTTGATCTCTTGCACCTGCATCCATGCGTTCACATTTCATTCACTTTTTACCTTTAGTGATGAGAGCGATAATAGGAGAATGGTGGAAATTCGGAAAAAGCTATTTTCATAGTAGTTTTATCGGCAATAGTATAGCATGTAATGACACTAATGATAAAATAAACAATTAAAAATATAAATTATTAGGGTAAATCTAAAATGGTAGTACCTGCTGTAGTCTGTCCCAAACAGCCAGCTGCGCCAACAGAACCTATTAGATTAGCTCCAATGCCAAGTCCGTTGCCAGGTGCAGTACCGGCGGTACCTGATACACCCAACATACCCGGTACCAAGCTTCCGACGCCGCCACCACATGAAATCCCGACAGCCCCAAAGCTAGTCAATTCTGAGTTAAAGAGCATCCAAAGAGGCGCGTCTGCTGACTGATTGGCTCTGACCTGGGCGTAGTCAGAAAGAGCGATGCCATTGACGACTGCGGATGAAGAGCTTGGACCACATGACTCACCACTACCTGATGCTGGAGCCGCCAGTGTGGTGCGCCAGAGCAGGGCGATCTCACGCGCAAGTCGGCGTCCTCGAACTGCCGGATGAATGGAAGTAAATAAAAAAGAAGTATGGGGGTTAGGAAGGTACAAAAAATACCTATTGCTATGACGATTAGTAGCTAGACTTCTTGGTAGAGTAAAAACAAGAGATGTAACAATAAAGTGAGAAGCACAAGTTATGAGAAGACTTTGAATTTACTTAGAGCTTTCTGAAACTTTCTAACCTTTTTTTCATTCGTATTTAAGATGCGGAAAAATTGCCTGCTTGATTTTCTTGTCTTATAGGAAATCAAGGGGTCAGTAAATACAACTATATATATAAAAATAAATGCGCGTGGTAAAATGTTTATAACTAAAATTTGCATGCCCACTTCATGAGGCAAAAGTCGATGTTAAAATTATCAAACAATTAGAAGTTGTTTGACCTTGTTTTCGCAACTTCGTTATATTGACATAAGGACGTAGAGGAAAGCACTTGGTCCAGGGTACATTGTATGCATGATAATTTCCAGTCGGACCGTGGATGGGTTACATTACCAGACATTTCGCCGGCATCATCGATGAGCATTGTCATTCTTAGCACCACGCTACAACTCGTCGGAGACAAGTGAAGCCGATCCTTTGACCAATTTTCTACTAAACATTCGTGGTATTTCTCCTGCACTGAGCCATTCACCAATCCTATATCCTCATATCTCGCCTTCACTATCACAATTTTTATTTGCTTATTTAAATGTGATATGGTGTCTTTTTGAGCCGCTTTCATGATAACTCTACACACACTCCACACTGGCTTTCTCATCCCCCTTTCCCCTTTTGCTGGGAATGTTGATCAGATTCTGCACTATTGTTATGCAGTCCTCCTTCCATAGGTCTCATCAGAGTCTCATTCTTGCCCCGTAGGATCCATCTGCTACCTCCCTGGTTCAAGTATTTCACTCGACCCTTGCCACCCTATCTGTGCTACTCGAAGTGTTATTTCCCACACTCTGCGTCTGGGAGACTAACTAGCTTGAGGTCTATGACTTCATATGCCCTAATCTCCTGTGTGCTAACTTACAAATGTGATACTGCTTGCTTTGATTAGGTTCAATGTTGAACCACAGCATCTGTGTGCTGGCACACAAGAGACTGAGGCATAGCAAGTCATAGACTTGGTATTTGGGATAGAGACAGAATAGACGAGGCGAAGAGAGAGCGATTTGGCTGACAGTAGGCCTGTTTTACCATAGACGTAATCCATGTAGCAAAGGCTTGACGATAAAAATTATGCAGGAGCTTTAGCCTCAAGTTATTCTCCCAGAGGCAGAGCGTGGGAAATAACGCTTCCAGTAGCATAGATAGGGTCGCAAGGGTCGAGTGGAATACTTGAACCAGGGAGATAGCAGACGGATCCTACGAGGCAAGAATGAGACTCTGATAAGACCTATGGAAGGAGGACTGCATAACAATATTACAGAATCCGATCAACATTCCCAGCACAGGGGGGAAGGGGGTGAGAAAGCCACCGTTTAGTGTGGAGAGTTATCATGAAAACGGCTCAAAAGGGCACACCATAACACATTTAAAAAACCAAGTAAAATTGTGATAGTGAAGGCGTGATATGAGGATATAGGATTGGTGAATAGCCCAGGGCAGGAGAAATACCACGAATGTTTAGTAAATAATTGGTCAAAGGATCGGCTTCACTTGTCTCTGACGAGTTGTAGCGTGGTGCTAAGACTGGCAATGCTCACCAATGATACCGGCGAAATATCTGGGAATGTACCCCATCCACGGTCCGACTGGAAATTATCATGCATACTAGGGACCCTGGACTAAGTGAGTGCCTCTACGTCTTCCTGCCAATATGATCAAGTTGCAAAAACAAGGTCAAACAGCTTTTATACAATGAAAGGAACCTGCCACCACACTAAAGGTCACACTATCTTGGTCTTCTATCAAACGAATGTTTCGAAGGATATAAATGATGCTATTAACAAGTTCCCCAAAATGTAAGCAGGGAGTATGATGGTGGCAAATATCTGGATTGTGGATTAGAAATAGGTTGCAAGAACAAAGAAATATTAAATGGCATGCAACCCAACTTCAATAAAATTATCTATCACATTAGCCTACATGGACTAGTTCAATATATAAAATAAACTTGTTTGAGTGATTTTTAACTATTGGGACTCGGTATTCGAGAAAATAAGATTGTGAGGAGGAATAAACGGAAAAAGGTCCTCGATTCCGATTAGAATCCTAAGTCATAATCAGTAAAGATAAGCAAATATTAATAAAGGCAAGAGGTTAAGATCATGAGAGATTAATAAAGAATTTTCATATAAGCAGATGAGTAGGTCTTTCGATGCAATTGAATTTAACTTAGAATTTTAAAAAATTATCCTCATTCAGGAAGGATGTTTCGACTTCGCCTAGGTCTTATCAA